TGATGGGAATCTGGAATTCATTGCCTGTAAGGGTAGTAGAGGCAGAAACCCTCATAACATTTAAGAAGTAGTTAGACTTGCACATGCAATGCCAAGGCTCACAAGGTGATGGGCCAAGTGCTGGAAAATGGGATAAGAATAGTTAGGTGGTTGTTCTTGACTGGCGCAGAATCAACGAGCCTTTTTCAGTACTGTAGACCTCTATGATTCTAACAAAGTTATGAAAGATTGCTACCCAGAGTTGACAGCTTAGTGGGATTTAATGATAAGTACAGTTAATTCCTCAAAATTTTTAAAGGAGACGAGAATTCAGACCCTTTTTGGCTAGAACTCATCAGGTCTAGGATGCAAGGAACAGACTTTAGAAAAACAGCATCAACAGAGACTTGCAGTGTGATATATACTATCTTGGCTAACATAAGGAAAACCATGAAGTGCATTGTGTTGGCACATTACATCACGGTGGTTATAGTGGCAGCAAATGGGTAAGAGAAGATGGTAGCAGAAAGCATGCAATAGAATCTGGTGACAGCAGACTGGTAGTAAAAGCTTAAAGAACATTTCAATGGTGACTAGGGTTTGTGGAAAGATATGACGACATTGTGCATATTCCAGGTCAATCGACACTGTCACCAACAATAGTCAAATCCTATGATGAAACAGATGATACTTCTGAGTTCTACATGATCAACCATCCATTATAAAAGATGACAATTCTGTTACAGAAAGTATTACACCAGACAGAAACCAGGCATCCAAAACTTATGATACACATCTCTCCACAATGACAGATCACACACCACAGAATGAAACTACACAACCAAGTCATGATAATTTTACAAGGACTAGATCCAATCATATGTCCCCCAAAGCATTATCCTAATCCATAAAGATAATCTGTGCATCTATTTGTATGTTTATCAAAACAGGTTTCCTATTCTTCAAAGAGAAAATTAGGGATCTTGTGTCCGAATATTTCTCAGAAAGGCCCGTATCTTTAAGGCAGCTAGATGCATCATAACATCTGACACTCTAGTATAAGAGGTCTCCATCTTAATCTCTTCACATTGGTGGTTGATCTGATAGCAAATAGCCAATCCATTACTCTGTTAGTCATGCAATTAATTATTTATTTAAGTTAATAGTAATATAAGTAAGCAAATAACCCAGACTGTACATTTAAGTCTGAGATGTCATATTATGTATATGGTTGGTTGACATTAAATTTCCAGATTTAACTCAGTATATGGTGTATATGTAATGTTGGCTAACATGTATAAAGCACTTTATGCTGGCTGTAAGTGATTACTTTACCAAAGTTGACAATAAACTGTTCCAATTGCCTTACCAATTGGCACCACTTTCTCATTCTTTACAAGTTGGTGCCCTTTCTCTATGTGAATGCCACCAATAGTGTTTGCCCTAGTCCTGATGAATGAAAGAAGAAACCTTTATCACCTTGTCTCCTTTAAGCAGTGTTTAAGTTCTATATGACAAAGCGAATGTTTGCAGTTTGCAATTATATGCAAGGTCCTAAAGCCTAGATCTGTGAGCAGCTTATAAAAAATTAACGTAATTTTCCAACAGGGCCTGTGTTATTTTCCTAAACTAACAAAAAAGCTTGTGTCTGATCTGATTTCTGTATCCCCAGTCACCCACTCTAAGCTGTAAACAGACCTATCCTTACATTTCATTTGGCTCCATTAAAAGGAAAATGACCACATTGCACAGCAGACCCATTTATTTGCTTCAAATTCCATAAATACTCATGACTACCCTGGAAGCAATTTTATGGAACTTTGGATAAACTTTCAGAATTGGTAGAAAATAACAAAGACGAGCCAGAAATATTATGAACACCACACATTAAATCAATTCACCCTTGACTCTGGATCTATCCTTCAGAAGCCAAATATACCATGTTGACAAAGAGTTTAGTCATTCTAAAAATAAATGGAATTTTATTCATTGTGTTGAAAGAGGCATTTTAGCAAATAAACAAATTAACATGTTTAATTAACCTTTTTGTTTTAAATGCTTCAAAGATATTTAAACATGAAGCAAAGGTGATATGTTATCAATGAATCAAAAATAAATCTGATATTATCCTAATGGTATCCATATGTAACACAGCTGTTCAGTTATTAATTTGAAACCTGCTATACTTAATTTTACAAAAATAACTAAATCCCAATAATAAGTGCACAAACTAACTGTGGTAGATATTTTATATGTTGAATATCTCAACTTATCAACATCTGATATTGATCTGACACAGTTGCTTTATTTGATACATTTCAAAATAAAACCTTGATATATCTAATTATCTTTGAGGCACCATATAGTGATATTTGCTTGCACCTAATTAACTTAAGATCAATTATCAACATCTAAGCAAATTCTGATATAATTAGTTTCATGAAATTAACTTGATCTCCTTATATTGTGATCTTCATTCAGCAGCATTTACCTTTACCATACATGGATATTTCAAGGCCCAGTTTCACTTTCCTGCAATCTACAAATCTTCCCATCTGTGTTCCTTGCTCTGTCCTCCTGCTCATATTGACATCATGTGCACAATCATATACTATGTTCCTAATTAATACATTTTGTGCATTGGGTGTTGAGCTGCAAACTAGAGGAAGAATGTTCAGGCAATAGATAAAACTTAGGAGGCAAACATTAGATTAGATTTAGGCCAAAGAGCACAAGGATTTTTTTTTAAATAGAGAACTGTGATGCTGTGTGGAATGTATTCCGGAGTTAAAGACCATTGAGCAGAGATCCTGGGATCAGTTTTAAATGGTATTGCCTGACAGGAAAAGGGTCTAACACAGTGTGTTCCCACTACAATCTGACCAATTGAACTTATAAATTGGAGGAGATAGTGACACAGTGGTGTTCTGCAGGGATCTGTTCTGGGACCTCTGCTCTTTGTGATCTTTATAAATGACTTGGATGAGGAAGTGGAAGGGTGGGTTAGTAAGTTTGCTGATGACATGAAGGTTGGTAGAGTTGTGGACAGCGTGGAGGGCTGTTGCAGGTTGCAACGGGACATTGACAGGATGCAGAGCTGGGCAAAGAAGTGGCAGATTGAATTCAACCCAGAAAAGTGTGAAGTGATTCATTTAGGAAGGTCAAATTTGAATGCAGAAGACAGGGTTAATGGCAGGATTCTTGGCAGTGTGGAGGAAACAGAGATCTTGGGGTCCACATCCACAGATCCCTCAAAGTTGCTACCCAAGTTGATAGGGTTATAAAGAAGGCGTATGGTCTGTTGGCTTTCATTGGCAGGGGAATGGAGTTTAAGAGCCGTGAGGTTATGCTGCAGCTCTATAAAACCCTGGTTAGACCACACTTGGAATATTGTGTTCAGCTCTGGTCGCCTCATTATAGGAAAGATGTGGAAGCTTTAGAGAGGATGCAGAGGAGATTTACCAGATGCTGCCTGGACTGGAGGGCAGGTCTTATGAGGAAAGGTTGAGGGAGCTAGGGCTTTATTCATTGGAGCGAAGAAGGATGCCTGATAGAGGTGTAAAGATGATGAGAGGCATAGATAGAGTGGATAGTCGGAGACTTTTTCACAGGGCGGAAGTGACTATTATGAGGGGGCATAACTTTAAGGTGATTGGAGGAAGTATAGGGGAGATGTCAGAGGTAGGTTCTTTACACAGAGAGTGGTGAACGTGTGGAATGCACTGCTAGCAGTGGTAGTGGAGTCCATTTCATTAGGGACATTTAAGCGACTCTTGGATAGGCACAGGGAGGATAATAAAATGTAGGGTATGCAGGGTAATTTGATCTTAGTACAATAATAGGTTGGGACAATATTGTGGGCCGAAGGGCCTGTACTGTTCTATGTTCTATGTTCCTGCAACTGGTCATTCCGTATGCAGACAGATTTCTGATGGCATCATCAGACTCAATTACTAGTTTTGTCCTGTGGGTTGAAGTTTGATGACTTACTTTCCAAGTTAAAAACTCCATGGATCTGGATCCAGGGTTATAAAAGGCCCAGTCATATGCAAACTGTTTAATTTCTTATGGTTTTCATTGGTTCCTCAAAGTCAGGGACCTCATCCACCAAGACCCCAAATCCTCTGCCTAAGCTCTCTGACCCACTGAGCTTAAGCTCAGACAATTCCCTGGGTGTAAATTGCTATCTCTGTTCTGGCCATGCTTTTAAGGACAACATTTACTAAATAATCCTAACTGGGCTAAGAATTACACTGAAACCATATTTAAGATTATCATTTGGGCTTGCAGTTTGGTTCTTTGCATGTGCTAGAAGTTACATCTGTTCACACAAGGGTCTCTGATCTTTGCTGACAAAATGAATATATAGTCCTTTACTCAGTGAGAAATATGTGATGGAAACAGCCAATCCTTGCTGCATCTCTGTGGCAATACCCTGAGTTAACCTGCCCCTTTTGGATTTAATGAGTTAATTAAGACTGTTAGCACATCATGCTGCATCTCTATAGTATATCTAATCAGTACCCTCTTTCATTCTGGATACATTTTGTTTCCTTTCTAAAGTCATTTTCTCCTTGCCTCCTTTTAATAATGTGAAGTTCCGTACTATCAAGTAAATATTTATACAAAAGGTGTTAAATTCTTTGGTATTAGCATTCAGGTTATGATGCAACTGCTCATCTCTGTGCTCCAATTTTCTCTCTTGTCTCTCTAGGTTTGCCAATGCTAATACACTGCACTATCAGTAGCTGTCACGTGCGGAAACGTCATAATAAGAAATAAAAACTGCAAGTAGATGTTAAGCAACTTTTTTGGTTTCCTATTTCATATTTCTTCACACTCACTGGACTATAAGCAAACAGAAGACGTATAATAATAACAAGAAAAATGTTTGCTGTATTTTCAGATCAAGAGTTTGGTCACTGCTGTCTCGAAATATCCTCCTTGTTCTTAAAGTGCATGACGTTGTAACATAAGCTAACTGTAGAATGGAAAGAACTGTCATTCCAGCTGACTCTTACCTCTGTCTGCTGAATCATGTGTTCCAGTTGAAAGATCTGAGTTTTCACTTGGTCCTCTTTGCTGATGAGGTAACCGATACTCTTGGATAGCTTCTCCTGTTGCCATAACAACAAAGCATACCGCAGGGTGAAACCAGAGAAGACATTCAAATTGCACCAGCTGTCAATGTACCCTCAATATCTCACTTTACACAGGCACAAGACAACCAACAATTATCAGACGTATAGAAACCAAATATATATAAAAGACTAAATGGATAAATAGTGAGGCCAGGAATCGGGAAAGCCACTGATACATTAAAGTCATTAAACATTTAAAATCTAATTGTGTACAAGAAACAGAGAGAGGAAATTGGAGCATTTTTATGTCTTGATATTTGAGAACATAATAAGCACTTTTGGAAAATGGAAGTAATCAATAGATCTTGGTCTTGCATCAACATAACTTACCTTCAGGGCTTTGTAGGCACTGCTCATAGAAGTTACTTTGTGGTTGGCATGTGATCCGCCCAGTTTACAGAGGTGGCACACGGGCCGTCTGCATACCTCACAATACATGGTAACTTTCTCCATATCATGCTCAGGACACATCAGGATCTGGTGACAATTAAATTGGGTGGAGGAATCAAACAACAAGACATTAAAACTATCGTCATTCAAAAATCGCTACTATAACAGATACGGCACAATCCAGACAGTCAGCATCTCCAAAGATTTCAGTCAATTTCTGTATTCCTTCAAATTTACAGATGAGTGAAATAAACCTTAGAATTGGAACCTTGCAAAGACTTGTTCAGTTTGTAATGATGTTTGCTGACTTCTATCATTTTGGAAATGTTTTCATAAGAGTAAGTGGATTACAAAGGAGACATACTGTCGGTGAAATTGACACTTTGTCTACCCATTTTCCAGGCTGAACATAAATGCAGAAAGTAATCATTTTCAAGGCAATGTGTCATTTACATATTAACTGGATTTAATTATATGCAGCCATTAATTGGGGTTTCATTTAATCGTGCATAGAGGCGCACACACTGAAGTTGTCGTGGGATTGAGTTAGGTAATATATGCTTGTAATGCTTCACTCTTTAAATAACTATTAGACTGAATAAAGATTGGTTCCAGTGTTATTTCTCACCATCTGGCTTTCTGGGATCTAACACAGTATCCTGCACTCAGTAAATGCCAGAAAGATGTTTGACCCCATGTTGGTTCACTGATTTTTCATGTTTCTCTTGCAGTCAAATACAACAGGCATTAATTAATTTCCTTAGGATTGTGAGGAATTTTAGGTGTCCTCTGCTGAACTGATAAATTTTCCACACTTGCTCCAAAGAGGAATTATTGGCACTATCTATGACTAAGTCACCTTTTAAAAAAGGCAAGCTGGAAAGAATACTCCCCGGGCTCCCCAGCCTTCCCAATGAACACCAATGGTTTCTGACTGTAACCCCCTCCCAATTCCTCACACATCACCATCTTAGGACTGTCTTGAGGCTTGTGAACAATTCAAAATTCATCCTTATTCCTGAGAGTCATTTCATTCAGCTAAAGTTTTACCTGAAAAATCTACCTCATGGTGTAAGACACATGCTCAAGGAACAGAACTTTAACTAAATACTTGGCTGATTTCTGGTGGTAATAAAAAATTAATTTGCTTTTTTTTCCTATATAACCTTCGTTTACTTTTGAGCATTTTTTGCTGGTTAATATTTGTCAATTCAGGGATTAAATTTATTCAAAATCACTCCACTCTCATCTGCATTGTCTTTCTCATCATCTGTAAAACTATTACTCCTTCATTTCCCTCCTTTAATTTCTTCCCCTTTACTCGGTTCCTTATTCGTTCATCCTTTGTCTCTCATTCCCTTTCTTTTCTTCTCATTAGTCTTGATTTCCTTTGAAAACAATACAATTTGTAATTTCTCTTCTATTTCTCTTTCTGCCTATTCCCTTTCCCACTCTCCAGTCTAATGCAATTAGTTCAGGTTAAAAGGAGAACAGCTCAAGGGTTTTAATTAATTACTTTCTGTCTAAACAAACAAGGAACATTTTGAACAGGGGAGAGAGTTGTGAGATGTTAATTTAGTCAAGAAACTCTCTGGCCAGAGTCTTATCAGTGCCTTGAGTGACATGGGCTATGGGTAATTTTGTGGCAGAATGAAATGAAAAGTCAGACAAGGCCATGTGATGTCGGAAGAATATCGCTCCATCTTTTATGCTTTTCATAAGCGTTGTGGAGAGATTCTCGTCAGGCAGCAAAGAGTGTCAACTAAGGAGTTATTGTTTGTCAAATGCCTAGCTCACAGCCCAACTCACCTCATTAACCTCAAAATGGAAATCAAAGTGGGTACCTAACGAATTCAGCTAGATCTGAAAGACCTGCATATTGGAACTCAGACACCAATATCGCAGGGCATGCTCCATGGGCACCATCTACAAGCATCCCATGTCCACGGGTCCTGGCAGGATATGCACCAACCTCTAAGAACTCGCTTGGCACATCACCAAATCATTTACAAGTTCAGGCTGCACCTTGGGTGGCACTGGCTACTATCATTGTAATCTGCAGCAAAGACACTGAGAGTTCAGGGTCAAATACCCAGCTCGTAGACTGGAGGAGGTTTCATCTCTGAGCTCTTGGCCTGCTGTAATAGTGTACACTCACTCAGGGCCCAACTAGATATGCGCAGCATCCCTGCCTCAACTTTTTGCCTCCTCAGCCAGAGATACCAGGCTCATATTACTTCCATCTTCCCTTGCCATTATTGCAGACACAAATGAAGTAAGTTGTCAAGGCTATCAGCAGGCCTCATTCAAGGCATGTGACACAAGCTTCAGTCATGGGATTGTAGCACAGTAGCACAAGGGTAGCCTCTGATGCCAATCCAGAGACTTGGAAATGGCCAGTCAGCCTCATGGGATGATCAGAGACAGGATACTCTCCATATAATTGGTGAGGAGCTGAACGTTGGAAAGTCCACCATCACAGCTGGGCCTGAACCGAGAGAATTACAATTAGCGCCAGGGATGGGTAAGCTACAGAAACTACAATCCGTGATCCAAAAAAGCCGTGTTAGAAATATGAGATTTTATGAATTAGGTTCAGCTATGACGGCCCCTAACATCGATATTATATAATATCCAAAGTCAAACATGAAAACTATTCCCTTCGGCAAAGTATCATAGTCACTGTGGAGGAGAAGGGAAAAATAAATTATGTTTCAAAACAAATGTAGCAGATGTTTTCAATTGGTGCATCTTTCTTTTGATCATATTTGCAGGAATCCTGAAGAAATGCTGCAATCTTAAGGTTATGATGTGCAGCTGTTGCACACATGGGTAAAATGACAGCAACATCTGTCACATTTTCATCAGCAGATATTATAATTATAGCATAGCAACGATTGACAGACAAGGATCTTTAACTCTTGTTAGAGATAACACTGCATTCATGAAAAAGGAAGCTGGAGATTAAATATTGTGAATCACTCAACCCTGCCACATGAAAAACTAATGATCAGTCCATGAAATTGGGATTTTCAAATTTAGTGAGTTAAAGTAGTTGTTTAGCAAAACCTGGTAATAAAATTATAGCATTAAAAAAATTTGCTTGAAGATTATTTCCTCTAAATATTTAGATTACTTTAATCTGTCGCATCACATTAATGTCCTCGAGGAAAGTGCTAATTTTAAGGTTGATCTGTGTATTTGAGTCAGAATGAATAAATAAGGAAATGAATTCAGCTGTGCAACCTATTCAATGGCTCCTCTTTCTGCTTAAATATATTTCAATTTTAATGAATAAATGCAAAATGGCTCTAACATACAGTGGCCAGATCTCTACGATTTATGTATGCAAGATTATTACTGATGAACGTAACACGTTGTTATGTGTTAGTTTTGTTGCTTACAACATTCAATGCTATCTGCTGGTTCTGCTAACTCTCTGTAGTATTGAGTGCAAATCAAATTAATTATAATAAGGCACCAACTTCATGAAAAAGTCTTTGGCCCTTTTCCTGTTTGTGGAGAGGTATGAGTTTCAACTGATGGGGCTATGTACAACCATATCTTTGCAAAAAAAAAAAAATGGGAGATTGTTTGCTTACTTATTTAATCATGATTTTGTAACTAGAATAAAATGTCTAATAAAATAAATGCATTTCTGGGAATGCCTTTCTGAAACACATTGTACAAAAGTAGCAAAAAGAGAAGCTCTGTACCTTAGGTCGGAAGTTGGTTGTTGGTCCTACATACTCATGCTGGGCCTTTGGAGTCCCCCAAGGATGATGGAGTTTGAAACACTCATTGCAGTAGCTTGCCTTGCAGTCCATGCAGCTCTTTGTGGCCTCCTGGGGTGGGGGCTTGCAGAGATTGCACATGATTGCCACTGCTGCTCTAGCGGCCTGTCTGTATCTTTCCACAATTGTTTCCAAGGTGAAGTTTCGGAACAGACCACTAAGGCCACGTTCTCCAAGATCTATGTCATGTTTGCAGCTAGGACAAGGGAAGGTGGTGATTCCTTGACTGTGGATGGTTCGTTTCCAGCCTGGATGGGCAGCAGATCCTTTTTTAGTCAACCAACACATGACAAAGTAAGGGGAAGGTAGAGAGAAAGGACAGATAAGGGACAGTGGAAAAGAAAGAGAATTGACAGAGTAGTAAAATTATGTAGATTATTAGAATTGCTAGAAAGAACATGTTAGAATAACAGAATAGTACAGCATAGAAAGAGACCATTCAGCCTATTAACTTTGCACACACCGTTTCAAAGAGCAATACAGTTAGACCCACTTCTTCCTCCTCCCTATATCCCTGCAATTTTTATCCTTTAAGATCTTAAGCAACTCTTTTTGTGAATCTGCATTTGAAATCCTAATGACTCATTGCTAAGAAGGTTTTTCCTTACATCACAGCCAGCTCTTTTGCTAACCACTTTAAATCTGTCCTTCTTGCTGAATAAGTTTTCAGCTGCTAGACACAGTTGCTTTTAATGTTCTCCATCTAACATTTTACAGTGTTAAACAGATGGATTAAAGCTCCTCTTAGCCTTCTCTGCTTTAAGAAGAACAGCTTCTAATTCTCCACTTTACTGACATAACTCAAAGTCCTCATCCCTGGAGCTAATCTCTTCTGTACTCTCTTCAAAGACTTCATACCCTTCGTAAAGTTGTGCCCAGAAATGAACACACTATACCAGTTGGGCTGAACCAACATTTTAGCTAAGTTTAGCATAAATTTCATATTATTTCCTAGCTTTTTTACTCTAGCTTCCAAATTCCATATGCTTTATTATCTTTTTTAACAATTCTCCAATTTCAAAGATATGCATACAAACAGATCTCTCTGTTTCATGAATATCTTTGCAATTGTGCCATTGGGCTTATAGCTTGCTATGAAAACATTTTCCATAGACAATCAAAATTCTACTTAAGGTGCAAATAAAAACCCATTTACAATACCAATACAACTTCTGTGGAACCAGAAAATAACTGACCATCATGAAGGACACACGATCTTGGGTAGTGCTAGATATGTTTAAGTGATGTAACTTTAAAAAGGACCTCTAGGTCAGTGTTCTACTTCATTGAAAATAAAGTTTGATTGTGAGTGGTTTAATTTTTGAAACTTTCTCAGCTAATTTTTACAGTTATTGTGCAAATCATGACAATTCAGAATCTTTTAATGTAACTCCGTGCAAGAGGCGTTTTACAAATCTGTAAAGCTAGATTATTTACTGAAATAGTGCAAGCTGACAAGAGATTATTTTAAATAGATTAATTCAATGTCTTTAATGAAGTTTCTGATTATTTAGAAAACCTAAGATAAGACCACCTGGAGGTTATTTACATCGCAATTCTAATTTGGCACATCTAGTCTTGTTTCATCATTAAAGTAACCGATTGCTAATATATCTCTGGGACATTTTGCCAGAAGAAATGTAATGTAATCTGGAGTTTAAGGCACAGTTTCACACATTCGCTGATTTTTCTAATGGCAATAAGTCAGGTAGTCTCTTTTGTCCAGGTAAGTGCCTTGATCAAAGTTTTATCTTATTGTTCACAGAGACAATGTACTGTGGAATATGGATAAAGATTTGTAACATACAGGGCTAGGAAAATAAATACACATCCAAAAACAGCAACGGAGTCATTTTGACTTCAGTTTTGTTAAAGATCACTTTGATGCTTTTTCTTCCAACTCCACCCTGCTCTCCCTCTTGCCGTCCTCTCAATAATTTCCTCCAAATACAAATCCCGAAGATAGTGCATGTTTGCACAAATTGTAGGGCTTTGGTCTTCTTCCCCCAAAAAAGCCACTTTAGATCTGTGACTGTCTAACAAGGGACATGGTATTGACATTAAATATATATCAGAAATTTGGACATGGCCTCACTGAATGCAAAACCCTGCAGGCCACGAATTAGGCATCAAAGCCCAAATTCTTGATACACAGTCCTGAAGCTCTGTGCCAAGATTGCTAAGCCATTACATTTATTCCAGTACACACTGCTAGTAAAATTAATCACTGATCATAGGGAGGGAAATATAACCCTCATTTGGTAACTACACACAGACACTTCCAGGAAGATTCACTTCATAGCAAATCAGGAGCAGAAATTCTGGCCAAAATTCCCCTTCTTTAGCTCAAGGAATAGGGTCACAAAAAGACTAAAGACAGCCAGCTCAGATGTTCTGAGTTTACACAGCTCCATGTTACACCAGCTAATGCATTACCCACTCAGCTGGTCAAGGATAGGAGCTTGGAAAATTAAGTTAAAAACATCTTATGATATGGAGATGTTTACTTACGCAACACAGGTTGCAAATTAAAATGAAGTAATTAGAGAAAAGAAATAAGGTACATTTATAAAGCAGCTTTCATCCTAAAGCACATTTAAGTGTTTTTGGAGTGTAATCGCCATTGTAATGTGCTGGATCTAATTGTTGGATAGCATCAAATTTACAAATAAATAAAATTTCCAAAATGCGGTCTGCTTTTGAGTTCATTTTTTTCAAAGTTAAGGAATGCTAACTTTTATTATCATTAACATACAAGCATATGAATTAGGAACACGAGAGTTTGAACTCTTTGCGCCTGCTTCACTGTTCAGGAAGATCATGGTTGATCTGATTAATCCACATTCCAACCTACCTCTGATAACCTGTCATGTTCTTATTGTCAATAATCTATATAATTCTGCCCTAAAAATATCCAAAGACTCTTCTTTTGAGGAAGAGAGTTCAAAGATTCAATAGACTCTCAGGAAAAAAAGTCTTTTCATGTCTGCCTTAAAAGAAGGACCTTTTATGCTTGAATAGTGATCCCTAGTTTTGGATTCCCCCACAAGAGGAAACACCCTTTCAAATCTACCATGTCAATGCCACTCAAAACCTTATATGTTTCAAACAAGTCGCCTTTTACTCTTCTAAACTAAAGCAGATAAAAGCCTATCCTGTCCAACATTTCCTCCTAAAACAATCCATCCATTCCAGGTTTTAGTCTCGTAAAACTTTTTGAACTGCTGCTAGTGTATTCACACCTTTCCTTAAATAAAGAGATCAATATTGTATACGGTATTCCAGATATGGTCTCACCCTAACTAACTGAAGTATCCCCTCCCCACTTTTGTATTAATTTTTCCTCATAATAAATTATAATCTACTGTTAGATTTCTTCAGTACATGCTGAACCTGCATACCAATGATTTGTGATTCATGCACTAGAATATGTAGATCTGTATGCACTTCAGAGTTCTGCAATCTCTCTGCATTTACATAGCATGCTTTGTTGATATCCTTACCAAAATGACGAGTTTCATATTTTGCCACATTATATTTCAGTTGCCAGATCATTGCCCTTTTATTAACCTATCTATATCCCTTTGCAGCTTCTTTATGTCCTCCTCAAAGATTATCTTTGGGCCATCAGTAACTATAAAATTCACATCTTCAGTACATTCATATAAATCATTTACATAAGTTATTAAAAAGTTGAAGCCCCAGCACTGATCCCTATGGTTCACCACTCATTATTCCTCATCAACCAGAAAATGACGCATTTATGCCTAAACTCTGTTTACTTTTATCTAGCCAATTGTCTATCCATGCAAATACGTTACCCCCAAATCATGATCTTTCATTTTGCACAATAACCGTTGCTATTGCACTTTATCAAATGCCTACTGGAAATCTAACTACAGTACATCCCTTAGCTCCTTCTTTAACCACAGTACACTTTACTTCCTCAAAGAACTTCAATAAATTGGTTAAACATGATATCCCTTTCACAAAACTATGCTAACTCTGCCTCATTACCTGGAACATTGTTCACTGCCCTGTTGTAAGGTCTTTAATTCTAGTTTCGAACACCTTCCCTATGACAGATGTCATGCTACCTGGATTTGATTTTCCTGCTTCCTGTCTCCCTTCCTTTTAAAATAAGAGTTGCATTTGCTATTTTCTAATCTAATGGAACCTTCCCTGAATCTAAGGAACTTTGGAAGATTAAAACTAACACATGAACAATCCTCCTAGCCATTTCTTTTAAGACCTTAGGATGAGGCCCATCTGGACTTGGTGTGTTGTTAGCCCAAGCTCCAAAAATTTGCTCGGGAACACTTTCTTGATGTTTGTAATTTTCTTGAGTTCCACCCTCCCAGCCACTTCTAGAAATTACAACTTCAGAAATTTCTGGAATGCTACTAATTTCCTCTACAATGAGGCCCAATGCAAAATACTTGTTCAAATAATTTGCCACCTTCTTATTTCCCGTTATTTTCCAGACTTACTTCCTGTAGGACTAATGCTCACTCTGCTAATTCTTTTCTCTTTTAAAAACCGTTACAATTTTTACTGTTTTTATATTTCTAGTTAGCTTTCTATTGCATTCTAATTTTTCTATCCTTATTAATCTTTTAGACATTCTTTCCTATTTTAATATTCTGCCCAGTTTTTTTAACTTGCCAGTGAATCTTGTGAAATTCTATGCTTTTAAGTTTGATATTATCATTCACTTTCTTCATTACTTATGGATGGTGGGGCTTAGCTTTGGAATTTTTCTTTCTCATTGAAATGCATCTTTCCTGTGCATTAAACATAGCAATATAGAAACTAAGCACAGGAATAGGCTACTCGGCCTTTCAAGACTGCTCCACCATTAAACATGATCATAGCTGATCCTCTATTTCAATGTCCCAGTCCCGCTATCTCTACTTACCCCTTTGGTTCCTTTAAAATCTAAGAAAAAAACCATTTCTTTTTCAATATATTCATTAACTAAGCCTCCACAACATTCTAAGGTGGAGAATTCCTTAGATTTGCTATCCTTTGAATGAAGAAACTTTTCCTCATCTTTAATACCAATTGGTCTACCCCGTATCCTGATACTGTATTCTGAAATATCTCTTTAAATGTCTGCCTTTACATGTCTGTCCTTTAAATATTTCTATTGACCTATCCCTTCACTCAATTTGTCAGTTCAGTTTAGTTGACTCTGCTTTAATCCCCTCATACTTGGTCTTATTTAAGCTTAAAATACGAGTCTTAG